CTTACGTAACGTGAAAAAGTATGAAATGTGTTGGACTGAAAGACTATAGTTGGCCTCTTTTTAAACTACGCTAGCTCTCTGTTAAGGACTGAAAGACTATAGTTGGCCTCTTTTTAAACTACGCTAGCTCTCTGTTAAGGACTGAAAGACTATAGTTGGCCTCTTTTTTAAACTATGCTAGCTCTCTGTTAAGGACTGAAAGACTATAGTTGGCCTCTTTTAAAACTATGCTAGCTCTCTGTTAAGGACTGAAAGTCTGTAATTGTCTCTTTTTTTTCTCTCCATATTCCTTTTAAGTTGTCCGTCAGAATTTCAACTCGGGGACATTTAAAATGAGAATAATGTGGAGGTTCGTAGTCTTGTGTGATTTTTGATAATTTTTGTTGGGTGTAAAATTAATTGTTTTTTGTTTCATTATAAGTTGGTTTATGTTTGTTTATTTATTAACATATAATAACAGGAACTGCTAGTTAGTTGTAGCACACATTTTTAGAAATATTTCCCTAGATGAAAGGAAGCTAACTGCACGAGCCTCGTGCTCACTAGCAAAATTAACACGTGAAACGTGGTTTTACAGAATCAAACTCTACCCTCGTGTACCTAACATTTTGTGCAAGACAGTCTGGAACCTTATATTTAACAAACACTAAAGCTATTAATTTATATATATATATTAAACACAAATGAACATGAAAATATCTACCAACTTGTGTAAAATAGAAATTATATTATTTGAGACCAAGCAACAAAAATTCCCCGTCTTTCATTTTACCGACCTCTCAGGCCTGGTGGCGACTAAAGATATTACATGGCAAACCTCCTCTTCTGAACGTACAATCAATTGGATCTCAACTGCCGCAGTCTAGAGATTTCACGAGCGTCGTTATTCATAAAACTTCAGTTTCTCGCACCCGCAAGATAAGTAATGTAGTTTAGGAGAAGACTGTGTTGTTCATTTTATGATGTAATATTATTAAAATTTATTAAATATTTATTAAACGACTAAAATTCCCAGTAAACTTGTTTATTTATGATTTTCGTGAGGATGATCAGGTTCATTGGTGAAAAAGTGACTTTTTTTTCCTTTTCTTTGTACAACTGGGAGTTGATTAATAAACCAGTACGTTGCTCCCTCTATCGGCAGAGAAAGAGTATATGAAGAAATGGCGTCTGACCCTGTGATGGTCCAAATAAAGCTAATACATATGGAAAAAATATAAGTTGCAAAAAAGAAAACAACACACACACACAAAACAGCATATATATATATATATATATTTTAAACGTTGACTCTGTTCAAATATAAATGCACAGTATTCAACAAGAAAACTTTGTACAGGTAAAATATAAAACAATTTTTAATCAGAACATCGTGCCTCTTTAACCATAATATCTGCTTCAATGCAATAAGCGTTTAGGACTGTTCTATGTTTAATACTCAAAATGTTTATATATTATGAGAGGAATATAAAGGGATCAGACTGCGGATCGTCAGGTACAAGATTCGAGTTTCCGATATACCTGAAGCCTGGCACGATCTGGTTAGGGAACTCAGCTCACAATCTGACTTCGAATCCGATCAACGAACATGCTCACCCTTTCAGCCGTGGAGGCATTATAATGTGACGATCAATCTCACTCTTTTTTTGGTAAAAGAGTAACCCAAAGGTTGGCGGTAGGTGCTGTTGACTAGCTGCCTTCCCGCTAGTCTATCATTTCAAAATTATAGACGGCTAGTGCAGATAACTCCCAAGTAGCTTTGTGTTAAATTCAAAAACAAAGAAACAAACATACAATAGTGCGATATAGCGCTGAACACTGTTCGCAAATTGCAGTACGTAACCTTTACTCGAGTAGAAATATTAGCAAATGTTTATGACCTTGCAACATGTGGTCAACGTATATGTGATTTGCTAAATGCAGAAATTATACGGAACTTTAGAAAAATTATCTGAACACCCCCGAATAAATATAAACAACTTCCTTATCTGAACACTCCCGAATAGATATAAACAACTTCCTTATCTGAACACCCCGAATAGATATAAACAACTTCCTTATCTGAACACCTCCGAATAGATGAAAACAACTTCCTTATCTGAACACCCCCGAATAAATATAAACAACTTCCTTATCTGAACACCCCAGAATAAATATAAACAACTTCCTTATCTGAACACCCCCGAATAAATATAAACAACTTCCTTATCTGAACACCCCCGAATAAATATAAACAACTTCCTTATCTGAACACCTCCGAATAAATATAAACAACTTCCTTATCTGAACACCCCCGAATAAAGATTTACAACATACTTATCTAAACACCCCCGAATAAAGATATACAGCATACTTATCTGAACACTTCCGAATAAAGAAATACAACATCCTTATCTAAACACCCCTGAATAAAGATATACAGCATACTTATCTAAACACCCCTGAATAAAGATATACAACATACTTATCTAAACACCCCTGAATAAAGATTTACAACATACTTATCTAAACACCCTGAATAAAGATATACAACATACTTATCTAAACACCCCCGAATAAAGATTTACAACATACTTATCTAAACACCCCTGAATAAAGATTTACAACATACTTATCTAAACTCCCCTAATAAAGATATACAACATACTTATCTAAACACCCCTGAATAAAGATATGCAGCATACTTATCTAAACACCCCTGAATAAAGATATACAACATACTTATCTAAACACCCCTGAATAAAGATTTACAACATACTTATCTAAACACCCCTGAATAAAGATATACAACATACTTATCTAAACACCCCTGAATAAAGATATACAACATACTTATCTAAACACCCCTGAATAAAGATATACAACATACTTATCTTATCACCCCTGAATAAAGATATACAACATACTTATCTAAACACCCCGAATAAATATAAACAACTTCCTTAACTGAACACCCCGAATAGATATACAACATACTTATCTAACACCCTGAATAAAGATATACAACATACTTATCTAAACACCCCTGAATAAAGATATACAACATACTTATCTTATACACCCCTGAATAAAGATATACAACATACTTATCTAAACACCTCTGAATAAAGATATACAACATCATTACACACATGGTCATTTCACAGAGAGAGAAAATAATAAAATAAAGTTAAATCTTAATACTAAATATATAAATGATAATGAGGTACGCAAGTTATCACAGTAATAATAAAAATACTGTAATACACACTGTGTGTATTTTTTTACCTGGTCAGTACGTCAGAGAGCATAATGGCCATCTTTAACCATTATTTTCTTTGTCTTGATTACTTCATTAATACGACTACACATGTATATATAAATATGTATCTCCAATATG